AGGGGGGCTTGGTTGGGGGAGGGGGAGGGAAAGGGGAGACGGCGGTGGGGGAAGAGACAGAAATGTTTAATAAATAAATAAATTAATAAAAAAAAAAACAAAATGAAGGGTTTATCATCTGAGCCTCAGCTACAGGGATTGTGTTGTGGATATACTGTTGGAGACTCTTGTCCTTTGCATTCTAATTGGTTATAATTTTCTGAAATGGTCTCTGTCCATTGCAAAGAGAAATTTCTTTAGTGAGAGGAGAGAAATACCTTATTTGTGGGTATAAGGGTAAATATTTACAATGTAGTTAGGGATTATGCTGATTTAGAACAGTGGCAGCTGGAGGTTCTTCGAATTCATGACTTCATTAGCTTTGGGTAGTTGGCTAGTACCAATCATGATTTTTCTCTTATAGAGCAAGCTTTAAGTTCAATCAGAGAGCTGTTAGTTACCACCAACATATGTGTTTTACTATTGCACCCTTAGGGTTAGTGTGCCATGATAATCATTGTTGAGTTTCACAAGTGTCATTTATGTAGTTTATTACATTTATTGATTTGTGTAGTGGCATTTCAATTGTATTTTTAATAAATAAAGACTGTCTGAAGATCTGAGACTAAAACAGTCCCACTGGTCAGCCTTGTGGACCAGATTATGGTAACATACAATTTAATCTCACTAGCCATAATGATATGCACCAATAATCCAGTAGCCACAGTGCACACACCTTTAGTCTCAGTATCCACACTAGTTGCCATAGAAACTGGGTGGTGCATGCCTTTAATGACAGTGGTTCAAGCCTTTAATCCCAGTCCTAGAGAGGATTATAAAATGGAAGGAAACAGCTCTCAACAGACAGTCTCATTCTGAGATTTCAGGAGGCAGGATCATCATTTCAGACTGAGGTCAATGTAAGAATTAGTGTCTGGCTATGTTGCTTTTCAGATTTTCAGGTTGAACCCCATTTTTTGACCCTGAGTTTTAATTAATCATGCTTCAGACTTGAGTATGTGGAACTATGCCTCTATCTCCAGGATAAAATCAACTTGGTCATGGTGAGTAATCTTTTTGATGCATAGTGATTTACAAGTTTTTTTATTGAGCATTTTTGAATCTATGGGTTTTTTTTTTTTTTGATATATTGGCCTGTAATTTTCTTTCCTTTTGTTTAGTTGTGTCTTTTTTGGTTTTGTTATTAGTATGATATTGTCTTTAAAAAGAAAACTATTGGAGTGCTACTTCTGTTTCTTTTATTTTTCTTAAATATTTTAAGAATTAGCTGTAGAACCTCTTTTAAAGTCTGGTAAAATTCTTCTGTGAGTCCATCTGGGCTTGTGTTATTTTTAGAAGGGGACTTTTTATTATTACTCCAATGTCCTCATTTGTTAAGTATCTTTTTAGGTTGTTGACTTCTTGGTTTAACTTTGGTGGCTTGGCTTATTTGAGAAATTCTTTGATCTTTTCTAAATTTCCCAACTTAATGGAATACAGTATTTTGATCACTTCTCTTTCTTTTAGTTAGTTGTGCCAAGGGTGTGTGTTTCTCTTCCAAAGAACCACTTTTTAGATTCATTAGTATTTTTGTAGTATTTATTTTCTTTATATTTTTATTAATTTGATTTATTTACCCTCTGATTTTTATTCTTTCTTGATTTTTATTTTTGTGTTTGGTTTGGTCTGTTTTTCTCTAGATTCTTCTGTTTTATTGTTGCTGTTTTGAGTTTTATTGCATCGCATTGAGATAGGCTATGTAATGCTTTTTCACTTTTTCTGAATTTGTTAAGACTTGTTTGTCAAGGAGGTACTCTTCTTTAGAGAAAATTCCATTAGCAGCTGAACAGAATGTGTCTCATTTGATGTTTAAGCCAAATGAATATTTTGTAAATGTCTATTAGGTCCATTTGATGTAGGATGTCATTTAATTATGAGTTTTCTCTGTTATATTTTGTTCACATGACCTGTCTATTGGAGAAAGTGAGTACTGAAATCACCTACTATTACTGTATTGGTGTTCATCTGTGCTTTTAGTTCCAAAGACACAATTTTTATGAAATTGTTTACACCAGATTTCATTACATGGGTGTTTAGGATTGTAATTTCTCCTTGGTTGTTTCCTTGATTAGAATGAAATGTTCTTTATCTCATCTGATTAGTTTATTTTGAGATTTATTTTGTCAGATATTAGCATATCAACACCTGTTTATTTCCTGGATCTATTTACTTGGACTAATAGTTTCCAATTTTTCACCTTAAGGTGGTGCTATCTTTAATGCTGAGTTTCTTGTAGACAACAAAAAGATGAATTTGGCTTTTTAATGCATTCAGATATCCCATGTCTTTTGACTGGAGAATTGAAGCAATTAATAGTTAAAGTTATTTCTAACTGGGGGAGCCAGCTTCCAGTCAGCACCAGGATATGAAAAAAAAACTCCACAAATTTGGTGAGTGCTTATGAAAAATTCTTATTGTTCTGGGGGCTAGACTTTTTCTATCTGAAGGAAAAAATAAGGAAGTACACATGCTTTCTGATGGTAACTTCCTCTTTTACTTCATCTTAAAAATGCTCTCTGAGAATCTCTTTTCTCCACACAGCTACATTCTTTACATACAACTACATATCTCTCTTTACATACATACGTCTCTCTCCTACCTGACCATACATCTCTATACATAGTTACATCTATTTTCATATGACTACACATCTTTCTTTAACGTACATTTCTCTTCTACATCTCTTTTTCTATACAGCTTCATCTTCCTTGTATCCACACAGTTACAAACCTCCACATGCCCACAGTTATATATCTCATTTACATAGCTCTCTTGCCATATAGCACTTTACACAGTTCCTTCACACAGCTCTCCTATACAGCAGCAGCTCTTTCACTGCCCCCCTCAGACACACACACACCCCTCCCC